AATCTGATTTTATTTGCCCACATGCGACCTGGATCTGATCTTTTCATGGCAGTCTGAACAACATGGATCCGATTTGTTCCAGTGAGACCCAGGCCACTTGGCTCTGTGGTCCTGAACCCGATACGAATCTGATCTTTTCAATGCGACCTGAACGCCATTAATACCCGACAGAGGTCACTATTCTGCGTCTTGCTATGAAGATGCAGCAAAAAAAACAACCATGGCGGACGATGATGATGCGCAGAGCAGTATTTATGTTTATAGATATTCAAAAGATTGAGTTTTTATGGTTGGAAAAGACCGCTAGATGCGTGCCGGCCCAAAAAGACCGCTAGATGCACGCCGGCCCAAAAAGACCGCTAGATGCGCGCCGGCCCAAAAAGACCGCTNGCCGGCCCAAAAAGACCGCTAGATGCACGCCGGCGCTACCATCCATGTTTCCGACTCGTAAAGTAAATAAAGCCGATCTGCTCTCTAGCTGGAAGCTACAGAACAGAGCAGATAAAGGATCAGAGCAACGAAGCGTCAAAGCCACTGAGCCACCGTTTGAGTCTAGTTTTCTGCGGTTGCGCGTATTTGACGCCGTCGGTGTGAACGTAGCATTAGATGGAAGCAGAGTTTTTATGTTCATGCCAGTATCCGCCATAGGATCAGAACTTCCTTTGTGTCCTCGGCTGCTGAAGGCCCAGAGGAATCGCTGAACGTATCGGCCGACACTGAGAGTATCGCTGAAAACAGCCAGATATCGGTCCGCCTCCGCCGTCGGTGTTTCCTGATCAATCTCAGAGGTTCTGATGTTCTGACCCGTCTGTTCCTCAGACCAGCTGAAGTCCGTCATGGAGCAGGTTCTGGCCTTCGCTCTGCGGGAGCTGACCAAGATCGTGGAGGCGTCGTTCGACGACCTGCTGCTGGAGATCACCAAGATGGAGAAGGAGCAGCAGATGCTGGAGGAGCAGCTGGAGAGGGGCTCCGAGCGAGGGGGGGGAGGGGGCAGGAGGCGGGGCTCCGTCAACGACTCGGAGTCGCCCAGCGGGTCCGAGGACACCAGGGAGGAACCGGCCGAGGAGTCCAAAGAGGCGGCGCCAACGGATGGTGAGTCATCAGCTCCTATTGGTCCGCTGGGCCTGAATGATGAGGTCACAGAATGTCCTCTCACTCCCCCCCCCCCAACAGGCTCAGGGCGGCCCCCCAACCCCCCCGCACCCCAGGACTGGGTTCCCATCCTGGACAAGGTGTTCGGTCAGAAATGGAGCAGCGACGTTTGGCCAATGAAAGGCGAAGGCGTAGACGGCTGCAGCGATGGGCGGGGCCTGATGGAGAGGGGGGGCAGGCACGCTGACCTCGTCTCCTCCTCCTCAGTTATCCTACAGCCCTCCCCCTCCTCCCCCCAGCAGGATCCCCGCTGGACCCCCCTGGAGGACATGGAGGTGTTTTCTCCTGACGACCAAGAAGCTGCAGACAGTCAGACGGACGCCGCCGCGGCCCCTCCCACACCGGGACCCCCCCTCAGCCCCTCAGGTGAGCAAAACAAACGCTCCCAAACTGCACAGAAGAAACTAGAGAACAAAAAACAAACAAACAGTAGTTTGGTGGTGGTAGAGATTCAACATTAACCTGACCAAAAAATAAAACAAAACCAAATAAAGTTTAAAGAATTTCAAGTTTCTGACTTTAACATTTATAATGGGAAGCTAAGGTGCACTGAAAATAATAATTTGTACATTTTTAAAGTCAGTGACACAGCAAAGTTTAAAGCTATAAATTTTAGATTAATATGCAACAAAAAAAATTCTATTCAGTTTATTTTAACAACAATTTAACCAGAAAAATGACCCAAATAGAAAAGAATGAGTTTGTTTGGCCACTAGAGGGCAGCAGACATTCATCTTTGTTTTCTGGCTTAGAGCCAGTAAAGGAGCAGAACTGGTTTATTCTCCTCCTCACTGGTTCTGATGAAGGTTCTGATCTACTGACTGTGACCTTTGACCCCTCAGGTCGTCGCTCCTCCGCCTCCATGCTTCATCGCCTCCTCACGCTGCCCTCTCAGCTGCTGGGCGACGACGAAGACGCCGCTGCCAAGGAGACGCTGATCGCCTTGGCGACCAACGGCAGCAGCGACCAGCAGGAAGACTCCGAGCCCCCCGATCGGGTCAGGGCGGCGGAGGAGGACGAAGAGGAGGAGGAAGAAGAGGAGGATGGGGACAAAGGCAGGAAGGTGAGGACGGAGAGCGGCGGCGGGTTCTTGTCTGCGGTTCTGGTCTCCTGACGCTCGGTTCTGTTTTGTTTGGCAGAAGAAGCGGCGGCGGGTCTGGTCTGAATGTGAGGAGTGTGGTCGCAGGTTCAGTCGGATGTCCCTCCTGAAGGCTCACCGCCAAACGCACGCTGCCAGCGATGCAGCCGGCGCCGACCCGTCCTCGGCTCCGGGGCCCGGCGCCGCCTCACCGCTGCGCTGCTCCGAATGTGGCAAGAGGTTCTCCTCCAACACCCGCCTGCACAGCCACATGCGGACTCAGCACCCAGAGAGCCGGTCCTGAGGCCGCAGGCCCGGTCCGGCCCGGACCGAGGGGGAGCCGGCTTTTATTCTGAAAGGCAGCAGGAAGCGGGATCACTGAGGCCCATTTTACCTCAGAATCAGAGTCCAGTTCTGGTTCTAATATGGAAACTGAAAACCAGAGTTCTTCACAGACAGAAGGCAGTTTTTAAAATCAGATCAGAAGAAAAGACTTCAGGGAACCAGAACCAGAGTTCCAAACCCGTGGAGACCAGTTACAGAGCTGCAGCTATGGATCCTTCAGGTAACGGAGGACCCAACCACAACTCTGCGGGTTTTTGTCCCCGTCTCGCTTTTCTGATGAAGTAACAAAATGAAACGAGGTCCAGAGAAGTTCCGGCCCAGAACCACTGGAGGAGGTTTGAACTACGGGTTTTACTTGAAATCTGAGCCGATGAGAAGATTTTGGGTCTGCAGGAACTTTTTTTAAAGATGGTACCGGTCAGTCGTTCCGCTTCTAATGAACGGACCAGAACCGGACCCAGAAAACCGAGGGGATGAAGGGAAACCGCCCTCCTCCTCCTCTGCTCTTCCTCTTTGTGTGTAGGTTAGTCCTCCTGGGGAACAGGAAGTGACCTCAGACTGAGGCTTCCTGGCGGGTTTCTCCTCATGTTGGATCAGAACCGGGTTTTCTAAGTGTCCTTTTTGTTGAACCACCACATTCTTCCTCCTCCTTCACTGCCTGGGTCGGCGCTCTGTGGTTCTGGACCATCTTTGGGGAACTTCAGGAACTTGTCGGGTCGGTGGCTTCGTTTGTTCGGAATCCAGTCCTCTGCTTCCTCGCACGGCGGCCATGTTGTTTACAGTTGTTAAGCCGCAGGCGGACGAACCCGACCCGACCCGGTCCGTCTGGAACAGGCAACCAGACGGAGGCCCGTTACTGCCAGGAAGAACGTTGACCTTTTTCATCTCACCCTGATTATTCATTGTCAAGATTTATGGAGCTAAATTTGGGCCATAAAGTTTGATCAAAAACACATTTTTTAAACAAAAAACGTTTTACTGTATTTTCCGGACTATAAGTCGCTATTTTTTTCCATGATTTGAACCATAAGAAGGTGCAACTGCCAGAAGGGGAAGTCAAAGTTAAAAACGGAAGAATAAGGGGCTAATTTTCATTTAGCACAAGATGCTAGCAGGTAGCATGGCGCAGAATAAATTCACACATTTTTACATTTATTTTCCGCATTAAAGTTGCTGAACCAATAAAGAGACTGAGCTCAACTCCTGCAGAGCTGAAATAAAGAGCTGATGAAGCTCCGTCTTTCAGGAGAAGCTCTTACTGCTGCGAGCTAACAAGCTAATGGGAGCTAGCATTTTTCTTCCTCCCTACTCCGGGGGCTATATGTAGAGCTCCCCCTACAGGTTTGGTGGAAGACAGTTCAGTAGATATCAGCAGCTTATAGCGCGGTGAGCTTATAGCTAGATGCGCTCTGTAGTCTGGAAAATATGGTAAATATATATATAAAAAAAATGTAAAGTAAAAATCTATTTTTTTTCTTTTTTTTTTTTTCAAACCAATCCTAAAAACATAGATTATCAATGATGCATTAAAGACGTTTCGAGTTCCTACAGTTCCTGAATGCGACAGCTGGGAATGATTGGTGCCTAATCTGTCATCAGAGCCCCGCCCCCTTTTTCAGTTAATTCTATTCTTTTCCAGATTTTGATGTTTCTTTCTGTTTTAAAAGTTAATTTGTTTCACATTTCTTTTAGTTTACTTTTTTATTACAGTAATTTTTTTGTTCCAATTTTTTTTTTCAGATTTATTTCTAGTTTAAATATTTTAGTTTTCAGTTTTAGAAACAGTTTTTTAAGTTTAAAAATAGTTTTGGATTGAAGTTTATGGCCATAATGTAGCTCCATATTTTTCTAATAACCCTCAGTTTACAGAAAGCAAACGTTAGAAAGACGCTGCGGTTCTGATGAGACAAATATGGGTTTTATTTGAATAATAATTGTCTGGAATCTGGATGAAAAAATTTAAACGATCTGTTACCAGCAAACGTCTCCCTGGAATCAACCTGCTGGAAAAACGAGTCTATAAAATATATCCTATATATATCAGATGGAGGCATAGATCCGGTTTAGTCTCCATCTCTGCGCTTATTTTAGACGAACTGGAAGTTCATCAAGAAACGAGGATTAAAGTAAAATATTTAAATTAGGGCTGCAACTAATTATTATTTAGCTAATCGATTCATCTGTTGATTATTTTTTCGATTAATAATCTGATTGGTCCCTTAAAGACAATTTTTTTACTAAATTAAACCAGATAACAAACTTTAGTTTGATAGAGAATACTGACAGAGGATTTGTTTGCAATGATTATTTACATATTTTCTTAGACTCTTGGTAGAATTCCTGTTCTGTCACCTAAAGGTAAATTTTACGGTCTCTGTTTCTAAATTATTTGACAATTATTGTTTCAGCCCTAATTTAAAGTAAATTAGTTTTTAGAGATTTGGTTTGGCATAAAAAACCTTTAAGATCCAACAGTTGAATAAAATGATGATTAATTTGTTCTTTCTTATCAGAATCATTTGAAAGCAGCTTCTTTCTGCACTTAAAGCCTCACATTAAATAACGTGATGCTTCAGAAACGGGAATATTTTCCCCTAAAGGCAGGAAAATGCTGTCGGCTGTCCTTTGGCGTCGGTTTCCAGGGAAACGGGTTTTGGGGTGGTTCCTGGGGTGGGGGGGACTCGTCTCTGTGTCTGTGCCTGATGATGAAGCTGTTGGACTGAAGTGTTTGTGTTGAAGTTGAAGGCTGAGACCTGCAGGGCTCCGGGTCCGACTCCCGGTCCGACTCGCCCCGACCCGTCTGGGTTCTGCTTGGCCAACCGCGCGGGTCGGACCTCTCAGCCTCCATCGTGTTGACATACCTCATTTTTTAAGTGTTTCTGTGTCCAAACAGACCCGAATACCTCAGCTGTACAGTTCACATGTTTTTGTTCTGGGAGTTTTTTTAAAATTTTTTTAAATTTTTGTGTTTGGATGCGTCTCAGATTTCCTCCTCAGCCTGAAGCCTTCCTCTAAAAGAATCATTTCTTCATTACCTTTTTTTTTTTAAGGATTTAGTTAAATAAATTAACCAGCAGAGAAATGATTAAATATGGACAAAGAGGTATGGAAGCCCAATAATGACAAAATTAGGAAATCCTTTGAATTAAACTAAAGGAGCAAAAAGCATTATGTTAAGAAAATAAATAATTAATCATTGGACTATTATCTATTGTTGAGTAAATAAAAAAGATAATTGGTACTTTAGTTCAACTTTAAAGCTACTTAGGTTTTTTTTTTTTTTTTTGCCAAATTTTTTATGAGCTTTTGAAAAATAAAATATTTGTTTTAATAAACAGATTTTTTAAAAGGAAATAACTGGAAACTAATAATAAAATAAGAATTTTAAAATAGTTAAATTTGGAAAAAAGCAACAAATTTAAAATATAAACTTAAGAATCATGTAAAATGATGAGATGCTGTAAAATTTGGAGCATTTTTAGAGAAAATGCTTTAAATTTCCCTGCATGGCTCGGCTTCAGCGCTCTGATGGAGAACCTGCGATCTCCAGTCGCTGTTAAAACGGAATGACTTCAAATATATTTACCCTGAATTTAAGAAAGAAATAAGATTTTGATTTAATGGAAAGGGGAGTTTTTTCCTTGAAATAAGATGATCAGAAATTCTGCACTTAAATATAGATAATAGAAATCTGTCTTTTATTTTATTTTAAAGCTAAATTGTCTTTTTCCTTTGTCAGATCGTCTTACCTGCTCAGGTTGCTCTGATCTTGATAAAAACGGACTTTATTTTTAGCAGCGGTGTTCCTGCAGAGGCAGCTGGGATCATGTGACCTTTTGAACCAATCACTGCTCCTCCTGTCATGTTTACACAGAGAAATTAAAACCAGAACAAAAACCATCTTCATTCAGATTTTTCTCACTTTAACTAGAAATAACAAACGGTGACGATTGATTGGTTCATCAGACGTTTCTTCATTTAGTCTTTTGATAGAAATAATAGGCATTAAAAATACTCAAAATAATTTAGCACCTGATATGTTTGACTTTTAAATGTAAAAAGTTTTGAAATATCTCCTAAACAGCAGAGAACATTTTAGCACCAATGAATTTAGTTTAATCTGACATAAAACAATGAAAGGATTAATTTGGTAACAGTGGGATGAAACCATGAAGCCGATTTAAAGTTTTACTCCTTTATGGTGCGGAAAGTACGACGGAGTGTCAGGGCCAGTATGGAGACTTTTTTTTAATTTTTTTTCTATACCGGGAATAAAATCGTACTATTGCGAGAATAAAGTCACAACGAGAATAGTCATAAAATTACGAAAATAACATTACGAAAATAAAGTCGTAACATTATGAGAATAAAGTCGAAATATTACGATAAAGTAAAATGACAAGAATAAAGTAACATTTTAGGAATGAAGTCGTAACATTTTGAGAATAAAGTCGTAACATTACCAGAATAAAGTCTCAATATTACATTAAAGTCATAACATTATTAAAGTCGCAACGAGAATAGTCATAGAATTATGAGAATAAAGTAACATTACGAGAACGTAATATGACAATAAAGTCGTAACATTACAAAAATAAAGTCATAACATTACGAAAATGTAATATGAGAATAAAGTCGAAACATTACGATAAAGTAAAATTACAAGAATAAAGTAACATTTTGAGAATAAAGCCGTAACATTATGAAAATAAAGTTGTAACATTACAAAAATAAAGTGAAAATAAAGTCAAAACATTACGAGAATAAAGTAACATTACGTAAATAAAGTAACATTCTGTAAATAAAGTAACATTACGTAAATAAAGTCGTAACATTACGAAAATAAAGTAACATTACGTGAAAAAAGTCGTAACATTACGAGAATAAAGTCTTATTAGAACTTCATTTTCATATTACAACTTTATTCTCAAAATAAAAAAAACTCGTACCTGGCACTAATATTGCGTTGTAGGAATTTGATGATAAACGTCCGTCTGTTCGTTAACGAGCTCCGTGTTATTTCCTGCAGCAGACGGACTGAAACTGGTTTAGACCCGATGTGAATCAGACGCGCGTTTCTGCGTTTTAAAGGAGGTCTAGCGCAGTGACGTTCATCGCGACCTCTGAGACGCATCCACACACCGCTAACCTGTACATATCTCAGAGCTCCTCTGATCTCCCGTTTTTTTATTTTTGTTGTTGATATCGTTTGCGTCGTTTTACTTTGAATAGAACGCGATGTTACTGTTTGAGCCGCCGGCCGTGAGCTCAGCGAAAGCGGAAAGGTCAGCTGAGCGGCGACGGACAAACCGAAGGGCCGCAGAGCCAGGCCGCTTCCCATCGGCGGCCTCTGGGGTTCCTCAGGGAACCATTCTCGGTCCTCTTTATGTTTCATGCAGGTGTCGTGGTGAAAGGGACGTTTTTAAATATCTTTCTTTTTTTTTTTAAAGAACTGTTTTTATTAATGCAGCCAAACGTGACTGATGTTCATATTCTGATGGATTTCCTCGTTTTTGTACTTCAGACGTCTTGTTTCTACTTCCTGTATGATGTTGATGAACCGTGTTTGACAAAGAAAGTTCATCTCTGATTGTTTGGATTTGCAATGCAATACTTTTATAAAATATAACGTGTTTTTTTTTTTTGTAATTCTGATTAATGGATGTGGAAGTTTGGGGTTGGGGAGCTGAAGAGCCTTTGGCGTTCATCGGCAGCAGAAATGCGACCACTCATCAGTCTGTTGAATTCATGTATCTGTTATTGAACTGATGATGTTACGATGAAGGCAACGGTGAGGGGGTTTATTTTCTAATATTTCTGACCTGGTACTTTAATGTAAAAACATAAATAAATGTTCCCAACCACACTACCTTTAAGTGATTTCTTATCCTTAAAAAGATAAATATGTTTTACCATTTAAATATTCTTTTCTTTTATTTAAAAGTGCATTATTCATTGAATGAATTAAGTCACCTTTTTTTCAGTCAAGATCTATTTTCATTCATTTGGATTTTTTCATTTGCATCTAAACGTTCCTGAAAACCAGAAAGGTGACGACATGCAGAGTGGATACGAAATAAAAGAACAGAAATATAAACGAGCATCACTGTGGTTTCCTCTAAACAGTCCTGCAGAAATGATGAGGAATCCTCAGGCCAGCACTGCGCTGGATGGAACTGATGCTGGTGCAAGT